GTACAGCTACATCTGCCTGAAGAAGTCTCTGTACCAAAGGGGGTACCAAAGCCTGTTTGGGGACTGCCACCTCTTCCATCTTTGAATTAACAACTCTGTCTTTGCAGAATATCCTGTGCTTTATTGTCCCTTCAATCCCCACTTTGGAAGATGAGAGGTGACATTGCAGAGAGCTCCGCACTTGGAAAATGCCTTTCAGAATGGTGTTCTGGCAATTTGAAACTTTCACTCTCTTATCTTCAGCCTCTTGGGGCTTCAATGGGAGACAGCAAAGTGCCTCTTCCTCCTCCCCTCTTTCTTTTCCTCTCCTGTTCTCCTGCAGCTGCAGCAGCCGGGATTCAGCAAGGTCACTCAACTCCATCGCTTCCTGCATGCAGGAGATCTCAAATTAAGGGGTGTTGGGAGCAGCCTGTTGAGATGAAACAGCCTTCGCTCAGCTCCCGCAAGCAAGGAAACAAAACTCATTCACAGCAGCTCCAGCCTGGCCCACCTTCCCTGTGCATTAACGGGAGAAAAAGTGAAGCTGTGGAGGAGCAAAAAGCAGAGCGAAATTAGTCCATCCTTGAGCTGAAAGCACATTCGTTAAGCAAAGGGAGCCCCCAGATGTCATTATCAGGCTGCAGCTGCCTTGTCCCCTCCTTGGTGTTTTCACCAGCATCTCATCCTGGTTCTTCTTTCCCCTCATATTCATGCACTGCCTCCTCACCCCCTTCACTGGTGAGGCAGAGCTGGTCCTGGCCCCCTCCATCCCCTGGTCTTGGTGCACAGTGCAAAGACATGGGAGCTTATTCCTCTGGCATTGCCAGCAGTGTGATGCTTTTCTCACCAGCCTTAGTCCTGTGCAGGCTGGGGGGGGGAGGGAGTTTGATGTTCCATGTGTGTAGTTTTGTATCTGAAAATAATAAAATAAAATATAAAATAATGAAAACTAAACTAAAAAAAAGTAAAAAAAATAATGAAAACTAAACTAAAAATTAAAATAAATCAAATAAAATTATAAAAAGTAAAGTAAAATAAAATAAAGTAAAATAAAGTAATAAAAACCAAAATCAAAAATAAATAAAACTATAAAAAGTAAAATAAAAAATAAAGTAAAATAAAATAAAATAAAGTAAAATAAAGTGATAAGAACTAAAATAAAAAATAAATAAAATAAAATCACCAAGACATTTGTCTTCAAACACCATCTTCCCAACAGCCTGTGCTATACTTCCCCCCCCCAATAACAGCCCTGCCTTTTTCACAAAGGGGATAGTTCCAGTCATCTGATGACTGGAATCTGCCTCCAGTCTCTTCCCTGCAGCACCTCTCTCATGGCTGCACCAGGGGAAGCCAGCGAAGCAGTATGCAGATATTGTCAAGCTCAACTTGATAGGTACTGTCAAAACTGCCGGAGTGTGGTGACAATAAACATTTTCGCTGGCTAACAATTTGCTGCGAAGGGGGCTGACCCTGAAATCGAGTTCTGCGGTAATGAACGCTCCGGCTCCAAATATTTGCATTTTTGCTGACGAGGTTCACTCTCCAGGAGATTCCCTCCACCCGTGAGCAATCTGCCTCCAACGAGACGGAGGATGGATGCGGGTTCCTGAGCCGCTTTGTTGGCTGCTGTGCAGGAGGGATGTGCACATGCCCAAAATCAGCCCGACCGCGGGAGCCGCTCAGCGCCAGGGTGTTGCTCTCCTTCATTGAAAAAGCCTTTTCCCGTTCGGTTCTGTACGGCAGCGCGATGCTGTCAATGCAAAACTAAACGCGACGATTAACCTCCCATAGCAGATGGGGAAACTGAGGCACGGGGTGACTCAGGACCATGCTTGGGCTGGTTTTGCTGAGCCAGACACGGAGCGGCCAAGAAAGGGAGAGTCAGTGCTGACTGCCCATCACTCAGCGCTGCGCCCCAGCCACACGGTGGGAGGAGGGTGAAGCCCTCCAGCACTCTCAGCAGCTCGGTTTGGGTGCTGCAGCTCATTGCAGCACATGGAAAGCTGGGGCTGCCCGCCCTCGGGAGCTGCTGCACGGAATCGTCTTCCACCCTCTTCAGAATGGCAAGCGGTTTGACCAAGGTTACAGAGACCAGCAGAGTGAAGAGCTAAGCATCACCTTCCTTAGCCCAGGGTCCCAAAGCCCAGCTGGCCCCAGTGTATCAGAGATGCTCAGAGTTCCCTTGCTGCACAGGCAGAGATGCAGCGCTTACATGTTTGAGGATTGAGTTTCTCAGGACAACTATATTTGTAAGGATGATCCCAAAATTAGTGGCCATTAATGATGGGCAAATGACTGTGCCTAATTCTCCAGGGTCAAAGTTTCCAGCCTGGATAGGCTGAGGATTTACTTGCACAATTCACCTCTGTGGAATGTGGCTTCCAAAGCTTACCCAAAGTCGAGCACCTCTCAAGTTCTGCACCAGCACAGGGAGAAGCTGCAGGGCTTGGTCCCACAATATCCAAGATGCTGCACATGGGAATGTCCTTTGGGTCAGTGCACACCTGCACGGCTTAGGTCTCACCCATCCCACTTGTCTAAGTGTTAGGCATGGGGCAGAGCAGCAGCCAGGACAGGATGCTGCTTTCTAGCTTATCACTTCAGCATCCCATTGCCACAATTAATCTTTAATACCACGAGGCAGGTTCTCACAAGGAAATGGGAGAGCTGGATTTCATTTCTGTTCCTGGCACTGGTTTTTTAGGGTGCCCACGGGGAAATGTCTTCATCCGTTTTCCCTCTGACATTTGGTTTCTGTATTTTGAGTAAGAGGTGCTCAGAGTTCACCATGCCTCTCACCACGTCCATCAGCAGTGTTTGCCACGCTGGAGTGGTCATTTCTTGAGAGCCCTAAATTCCTAGACAAATACACAGTAAATTGTAATAAAACTTCACACTCCTGCAGGAACGGGGGGGGGGGGGGGAAGACAGAAAGAATCCTTATAGTTTGCAAAAAGGACATAAAGGGAAGAAAAGCACAGCTTATTTCATTTTTATCTCCCTTTCCCTTCCCTACTGTAATGAAATGCAATTTTCACCAGCAGATTGTTGTCATTTTGCTGAAGAAAAAAATCAACAGTTTTGGCCAGAGAGGATAATTTGGGTTTTTTTTACCCTATTCCTGACAAGGAGCTGTTGTGTTCCTGGTAGCGCTGTGCCTTGGAAGGCACCCAGGCTCCAACCTCCATGCGCTCCAGTGTGGCTGTCCCGCACGATGCCTCCTTGCTGGGCTCACCATGGTACTCAATACAGTGAGAGAACTGGATGGGTGCTGCTGCGCCCAGTTGTGCTGCATCCTTGGAATCTTCTCCCTGTGGTCGCTCTGTATGTCTCTATTGGGACTTCCCAATGCTTCTTGTTGCAAGGGAGTTTCTCAGCACTGACAAACGTGGTTATCATCCTCTCAGCCCTCACAGGATTCTCCATCTCTAGGCGGACAGCCTCAGGTTCCTCCTATGTTTCTTTTCCACCATAAACCGTGAGCCAAAACACCCTGGTTAAAGGCTACAAGCTGAATTCTCCAATTCACCATTGATTTCTCCTTTTCCTTCTTCTTCCCCTCATTCCCTCGTCTCTGGCACAGGACAATTACCACGGCTCCCAGACACACACCACAAGCCCCTTGCCAGCTGAGCCATTTCACCCTGTCCTTGTTGCAAGCCGTGCTGGGAAGCCCATAAAGCACAAGGGAGGGATAATTACTAGTCCCAGCACTGCGATGATAATTAATACTCTGCTAAAAGGAGCGCTTGTCAGGTCAGGGAGCAGGAGGAGGGATGGGAAAACAAACAGGCAAAGATAAATCCCGAGCAAAGGTTTGCTGTGAGGAAGGGGCTGGGGACAAGGGGCAGGAAGTAGGAGCGGTGAGGTGCAGGTATCCAGGGCCATGGGAATGGGGTCTGTGCTCTTGGAAAGCTAGTGTTTCACACCCGTGGGTGCGATGTTGGGGAGCTTTACTCTGCATTGTATCACAGAACCCAGTCCCATCCTCCTTCAGCACTAAGGGACAGGAAAACCCTGCAGCCAGCAACACACCAAGCCAATCTGGACCATATTTGCCCCACTGGGGAGCTGAGAGGAGTTGGGTGAAGTCCCCAGTGTCCTCTCAACCAACAATGGAAAAGCTCTTCGCATGGTGGGTCCTGGATTGGCCAGCGTTTGCCAGCCAGGCTTCTGCGTGCATCTTGCTGCCTGTGTGTGTCACAAGGACTGGAGGTGAGTTTTGCTCTCCTAATGTTCACTTCTAACATAAAACTCTTCCCTGGGAGACCATCACTATTCCATTTTCTGTCTAAAAGCTATGTGTGGTATTTAGCAAACAGCTTTGATCTCCAGCCCAAACCAACTCCATCCCTGAGTGAGCATCCCACAGACCTCACACCAGAAAAGCGGGATATCCAAACAAGTCAGAGCATCTACTCATCCCCCTTTGTGCACACAGAGAGCTCCTCGTACCCTGAGTTATAGTTTTCCCCTCTTCAAAGCTTTCTCAATTTAATACTGATTTCACCATTTGGGGGACATCAGAGTCCACCTTTTAACTGAGGTTGGAGAAGGAAAGGTGGAAGAAATATAAAGAATTCCATGGTAGCAATGGGGAGCTTGAAACCTAAACATCATAAATCAAAACTCAATAAATCTGAGTGAGGTGAAGCATAAGAAAAGGGAGGGTGTCAGAGAAATGTGGGCTTGGGGTTTTCCTTCTGTTCAGCCCTGGGGTTTATTCTTCTCTCCCTCGGTCTCATCACCTGAATGATCAGCAAACCGCCTCCATAGATGCTGTGTATCAGCCTGTTCGCAATGGAGTTAAACCAAAAAAGGCAACCCATGGTAAAGGGTGAGAGAAGCAGAGGAGTGCTGGCAAGGGAGAACAATATGTTTTCAGACAAGCTTTAAAAAGGAATGTTATGTTAATACGAGTTTGGCGTCACACTGTCATAACACCATCAAAATGACATGCTGCCACCACTAATACAACTGTTTAGGGAATAGGCAACACGAACAAAAAAGCAATTCGGTTAGAAACAAACTGGGATGAGTCTATACTGTAAGAAAACAGAAATACGCTGCAATCCAAGGGAGGACCAGACAAATGCTCTGCAGTTGCCGCTGACAGTGATGCAAACGGGAAGCAGAAGCTCTGAACAGAACTTGCTCCTTGTTTTCCATGACCTCTTAGCCTTCGCTGGGATAATCTGCTCCTAGGAGAGAAACAGTTTAAGGACAGCTGTTCTGGCATTAATTAAAAAGCCCTACAGTCCTTCCCTAATAGACCCACTTTCCTCCTAAGATCTTCTTCCTCCATTTGCTTTCGTACCTGTCCTTAATTAAGTCCAGTGAGAGGAATTCACTCCTTCAAATGTGTTAAAAACGGATGTTCTCAAGGCACCTGCGTCTGAGGAAACTGATTTCTTGAAGCCCATGTATTACATGAAGAGGGGACATTTTCAAGCTGAACGCTCCCTTTTGATGAGCACAAACGAGCTGCTCTATGTTAAAAACCATTCCTCTTGCTTTTCGAGCTCATTTGGCAAGAGCTCAGCTGGTAGGGTGCTAAATAGTCACTTGAAGGACTACAAGCCTAGAGCGCATTGAGGATGAGTCCTTCAGAAGGGAGATGCAGCATCACTTCACCTGAGGATGCCCCTCTCCAGGGATAGCTATGGAAACACGCAGCCCGGCAGCGCTGACAGAGGCTTGTTGACCAACAAGATCCTGGCACAAGCCCTGTGGCTCAGCCATGGCAACAGGGCCGGTGGCGCGGCGGCAGCTGCTGCTGTGCGCAGGGAAGAGCTTTTCAAAATACCACGGCTCAAACCCATGACAGAACACAGAAATAGCAAATAGGAGAGAAAACAAGGCTGCGTGTGAAATAGAAGCCAGGAAGGATGTTAGGTACAATTATAGCTATTGCCTGCCCCAAATCTTCCTGGACTCCTCACTCAATGCGTCGTCACTACGCACAATTCAAATGCTATTTTTTATTTGGTCAGAAAATGTCAAATTTCCTCCTTATTTTTTGTTTTTTTTGAATTCTTGATAATGTGATCAGAATTAAAGCTGAGTTGTATCAGACTAAGGCCAAAACATTGGGATTTGCTGGTCTCCCAGGCACAGGTTCCCAGCCCAAAGCTGCCCCCACACCATTATCCCTTTAGCCCCAGCCCCTGCAGAATCAGCCCATGGGGTGCAATAGGAGATGCTTATCGCCTCACTCCTCATATAAATCTGATAGATTTATACTCCCAGGTATAAATCTGATAGAATATGTCTTAGAGCCTTTCTGAGGGGCACCTTTAATGATAATTCCATACCTCTTGTCAGAGCCTGCAGAGAAGGTGCTCAATCAAGGAGGGGTGATGCAGGGGGACAAAGCGTAAGCTTCTCCAAAGCCACCCCATCTCCAGCTGAGCCTCAAGTGAGCTAAATTCATTCCCGGTGTCAGTCCAGTGAAGCACACAATTAAGCAGGCAAGATTTTGGGCTGTGCTGTCTAGTTCCGTTAGGCCACCCCACCAGGAGCTGCAGAGATTGCGGCCAGGAATTTGCTTATGGAAGAATGAAAAATTGCCCCCTTCAATCTCTTCCTTCCCACCTGCTGGGTTTTAGCTCTTAAAAACCTGACAAACAAGGCAGGAAGGTTTGCTCCGAGAGCTTTGACCCGTGGGTCGGTTTCCTCAGCTTGCTAACAGCTGAGCATTTCAGAAGAGCAGGTCTTTGCCATGCGGGATGAATTACCCGTGGTACAGCGGATCCGCACAGCGGTAGGCAGGGTTCTGCTGGAGCTGGGCATTTGCCATGCTTTCCTAGAAAAGCTCTCTGCTGCTCTCCTTGCAACATTAATTCTGAGCAACAGAGGGGGAATGAAATGTACGTTTGAAAGCAAGCCACGAGGCAGAGAGCAATATTTAGCTTTCCTCTCCCAGAGGTCTCACCTGTGTTGGCACTGGTTTAAAGATGTTAGAATGGGATTAAGGGGCTAAATCAGATGTTTTATTAGTTACAGGAGCCCATTTTCCTTGCTAAATAATTGAATGTGTGCGCTTAAGGCAAGAGTCGAGGCTGGCTGCTGAAAGGGGGCCCGTGGAACTCCAGGCTGAGATTTCACAGAGGATCAGATGGAGTGTGCAGCATCAGCCTGTCTGTGAAGACATCTGGGTCTTCTGTCATCTGGAGTGGATGCTGCATGTTCCTGGGACATTTCCGACAAGGATTTACATGAGGAGATGCAAAGGTCTGAAATATCTTTAAAGGAAATACGTTTTCTTCTAAATAAGAGAACAGGAGCTGAACTTCTGTCTTCAAAAAGGGGATTTGTTTGTCTTTTTGTATGCCAAATGTGTCTGTGATGAGAATTCAAAGGCCTGGTTAGCTTCAGGTCTTTATGTAGCATTATCCAGTCCAGGAGACAAAAAAGCTGAGAAACTTGCAGCAAAACCATTCTTATGAATATTTCAACTATTCTGCAGGTTTAATAAATTAAAATACTTCTGCAAATACTTTGGAGCTTATTCATCTCTGATAACACTTGGTACCTTATTATTTCTAACTGAGCTACAGAGAAAAACACATTATTATGGATTTTGTGGTAGATCCTCCAATTTATCAACCTAAAAAGATTTCCGAGCAATAGAGACTTTCTGTGCAAGTTAATATGTCATAGGCTATTTATCACCTGGGGTTTGCTGAGTCTGCATTCCTAATCAATGACTTGACAACCTGAGTTAGGGAACACTTAAAGATGATATCCGTGCAAAGTAAGGGATGTGGCTAAAGCAGGTTTGGCCTCCAGGAGAGGACACTGGGCACTTTGGTCACCCAAGATATCTTGTGCATATGTGGTTGCGTTGCCCCGGGGTGGCAGCAGCAATAAAACCATGATTTCCTCACCTGAGTAAGCATTACTCCTGCAGAAACCCACAGGAGCAGACAGAAATATCCCAGGACTCAGCTGATGGTGGAAAACTCTGGATTCCAAGGTGTATAATCCCATTCTGCCTCCTACAGCTCTCCATGGGGCCAGGGGTGATGTCCATCCTTGCAAGCATTCATCACATCCCTGCCTCGGTGATGCTGCTTTTGTTTCCTGGCACCTCTCCCAGAGGTGGCTGCCTCTGCTGGAGGTGAAGGATGACAGAGTACACAGGGTGTTATGGGCACTGGGAGGCTTAACACACTAAATAAATGTAATGAATATATATGATTTCATTTCCCTCCTACCCCAGACGCATTTCTACACTTTCATTTGATCTCGCTGATGTACTGCAGCCTCGCTCTGTATAATCTACACAAACTCCATATGCCACGGAGTGGAGCTGGGAAACTTGGCAGGTTGGAGCTTCAGGTGAAGGAGACCCCAGCCCCACGCATGCATGAACCGGGAGCTGGCAAAGTCCCACGTCCCACTGCATACCTGCCCTGAAAGCCACGGGGGCTGCAGCTTCCCATCCCATCCTGTTCCATCCTATCCCATCTGCAGCCCCAGTCCACATGTGCTGTGTGGGGCACGTGCGCTGCAGACCTAGGTACGTCAGAGCAAGGCAGGTGTTTCCACACACGTTACAGGCTCACGGGAGGGACAGGGATGCTCAGGGGATGGGTGCTGCATTCAGTTCAGCAGAGGAAACCCATCCTTCAGCCCATGATGGATTTATTCCCGTGACCCAGCAAGTGGAGGTCAGGAGACCCTGACAGAAAACAAATGAGAAATGGCATCTTCCAGGAATTCCTGCAGTAACCTCTTTTCCCCTCTGGCTCTGACACCTCTCCTATCACACAGAGCCACAGTGGAGGGGCTGGGCAGAGAAACACCCTTACTCACCTTGGTGCTTGCTCTTGGCCATCTCCTCCCAGCTACGACCCAAAGTGCTCCTCAAACTTTACACGCTGTTGGAGTAAAGACGCCGGCATCCCCCATTACCCCTGCGTCGGTTCACGCTGCTCCTTACAGCTCCCGCAGCTGAGCAGTGAGTTACGTCTGAAATAAAACAGATGCATTAGAAATGACTTTGCCCAGAAGCAGAGGCACGGTGCAACCTTGCACGCTCTTGTTTACGTCCGTCTGTCAAAGCCCCCCATCCCCATTGGGGATGCACATCTCAGCTAGCTGCTATGGGTCCCTGTTTAAACCCCGTCTTGGAAGCCCCTAAATACAAGGCAGCACGTCCATGAGTACAAATCATCTGAGCCCCACAGGGCAACGACTGAGTCCTCTTCCCCTTAACCCTTCCAAACCGTCCCCGGTTACAAGGGGTGAACGCATTTAGGGGCAGGGTAATTTATTGCACCCATTTGTGACGAGGACAGCGTGCTGTCAGTCAGAAAGCAGAGGAAGAAACGAATTAGCTGCGTTAGTTTTCTTCACTGCTTAATTGTTCCTGAGAGGCTGAGTTCTGGGGAGGGCGATGAATCATTGTTTGTGAAATATTTCTTCCAAGAAGATGACTTGAAAAATACATTTATAATTTATCACAACCTCTCGCGTTCCCGGGAAACGGCAGCCAAAGGAGGAAAGTTCCTCCCTCCCCCCGTTCATTATCGCTATAATCTTATCTCCTGCACCCTCTCCTCACCCTTTGAATATTACATCTCCTCCCGCTTGCGTGCCGAGGTGTAGCGGGGGGAAGCCGGCGGGGAGGGGGGGAGACTGGGAAAAATCATCACATATTTCAGGCTGGCTCTATTTAAATGAGTTTGGGATTGTGCTTCTCTGGAGCAGATGGCCCTGGAGATAATGATGCCTGAGCAGCGAAGGCTGGAGCCCCTCTCTCCTGTTGCCATGGCAGGCCACGGGGCTGAAATGGATTCTGCTTATTAAATTTGCGAGCTCTTGTGTACTCAGGATGAATGGCATGCAGTCATAAAGAGGCCCAACCTCCTCATGGCGCTGGATAGTTTTATCTTAGAAAGCCAGGCACTCTAACTCTGCCAGACGAGGGTCTCATTAACCTATTAACAGCAGCCGTGGAGGAGCTCAACCCACAGGGGCTTTGAATGGGGAGAGCAGGGTGTTTCCAGGAACGTGCCGAACGCCGGCGTTCCTCGTGGCTTAAAACCCCGGGTGAGGGCGATCGATCAGCTGTTGGCTCAAAAAGGGGAGAGCTCCACTCAGCACACAGGCACCCACGTGCTTCCCACACGTGTCTGTTTGGGACATAACACCACAGAGCCCAGCGGAGCATCCGACACCACCACTACCTCCCATATGGAGTTGGGGATTCACCGAGGCAGTGATGCTCGCACTCAGGTTTGCTTCGTAAGATGTGGTGAGGCTTAAAGTAAACCATCAAAACTTGATAAAACCAAGTTTAGCAGCAATTTGAAGCATAGGATAGCTGGGATTTTACTTTCCACTGTACTTTTCTATAGAGCTGCTTTACAGAAACGTGCCGGTGGTTTGGAAGAATGGCAATTTGATGTGCAGTGAGGCAACATGCATTACATTAGGATGCAGTTAACTTTGATTAACCAGAGGTTGGTAAAACAGCACTGCACTATATTTAGTTTCACATCACTTTTTTTCTACGTGTTATTATGCAAATTTTTGCACGAGCCTTATTTCAAATGCAACCCAACTCTGTTTTCTTCCCTGCTTAGGGGGAATCTGCATTCCTGCATGGCCAACAAGAGCACCTGACCGAGCTGTGCTCCTTGCTCTGGCAGCATCCACCTGCCCAACCAACCTCATGATATGAAATCATCACATCAAAGATTGCCAGCGCTGGGCTTTCATCCCCAGGACTAAGATGGAGGTGAGGGCTGCTTGCTCTGGGGCAAATCTTCCCACTCTAAGAGGAGAAATCAGAGATCAAACACTTGCAAACACCTCCATCGCATACTTACTGATGGACTTGGTGTGGTCTGTAGCTGTAAAGTTGGTGGGAGATTTTCCCCCATCACTGGAAAATATTGATTTGATGGAAAGGGAATGGACCATAGTTGGGGTTGTAAATCTTCCTTCTTCTACAATAGCTAACAGGGAGCTTGGCCTCTTTGAGGCTTAAAGTATCTTGTCAGGTCACTGCAGACTCACACAGAAGGGACTGGAAATGGTCCAAAAACTCCTCCTCAGCTTCCAAACTCCTCGTCACAACTGCGTAAAAGACAGTCATTGAGCAGGGTTGGTGCAAATAATCACCAGTACTGTGGAAAGATCATCCTGGACTCTGAAAACGAAGCACAAAAGTCAAATCCGGACAAATTTCTTGGCATTCAATCCTCCTACCTTCAGGCCAGATCTCCAGGTTAATACTCCTAATGAGATAGTGGCAAAAGGGATGTTCACAAGAATTCACTTGGCAAAGCCAGCTGAATAGTTAGATTTAACATTGCTTTTCATTTCAGTGAGTGCTGAGTATCTACATCCTGCAGCTGGCTTTGGAAACCGTGGTCTGATCCAGGGCCTCTGGACATCTCCGACATCTCCCCCGTCAGCTGCTGGCCTCAGAGCGGCTCCTGCTGCCTGTGCATCTTTAAGCCGAGATGATATGAAATCTAACCCTCGCTCAATACCAGCTATTTAGAAGGCACTGCAGACCACAGGAACAGAAACACGTGTCCAGATTTTCACAGAGCTCTCAAAATACAGCCCCAGCAATGCCGAGTAGACGCAGTCTGCATTTTAAAAGGCTGGTTGGAAGCGCTGGTGTGGTGTTCATGCATTTACCCATTTCCAGCTGTGCCCCCCAGCAGGTTTCCTTACCTGGGCTGGCCACCCGCACTGGGCTATAGGCCAGCTTCACGGATGGGTTGGGTGCTAGCATGTGTAAGCCCAGTGTAGGCTGCAGGACGTATCCAGGGTCACCTTAGGAGGCTGCATGAGAGCAGAGGGCTGGAGCCAGGACTCCTGCACATCAGGTTGGTGCTCCCAGCCCTACCCACCACCCTCTTTGTTCTGAAATCCCCATCAACAGGGAGGGTGAAGGAGAGGACAGGCAAAACGCTTCTGGGGCAGCTGCCTACAAGTGCAGACCATAGAAAAGGGATTAGCTCTGTCTTCAAAATGCAAATCCCCTTGACACACGCCAAGCTCGCAGGCACTCCTGGAGCCGTTTGCCCAGTCCTGACTTCCAGCTTTACACAAGCACGAGCTTTGCCAACTTAATGTCGGAGGTATGAACACCGGTGAATTAAAACGGAGCCTACAAATGAAAAGCCGATTAGCAGATATTAGAAGGACACCGAGATGAAGAGGCTGCAGTGATGGAGAAAGGCTCCTCGCCCCCACCTTAGTGCATAGCACAACCTCCTCCCTGATCTCGGTGGTTCCTTTGCCATGTCCTAATCCCCTTGCACACAGACAAGGGGATGTCAGTGGGAAGAGGGGCTTCTGCAGACTTGTCTGTGTCAATTTACACAGAAATTACACAGAACCTCAAGAAGAAAAGGGGATCACAGCAGGCTCCTTGCTCTCCAGAGCAGCCCTATGCAAGGTGACTGTGCAACAGGAAGTTTCCCATTGCCATTAGGGAAAATACCAGAGGATTTATGGAGAAATGTGGCTGAAAGGCTTTCAGGTAAGCAGACAGTAAAGCTGTGCTTTAGCATCACTCTTACAGCCCAAACTTTCGCATTCCTACCCTGCACTCAGCATTTACACACATTTCCCTAACCTGGATGCTCATTAAACTGGGAGACTTGGGTTGCCAAATCATCACTGTCAACCAAGACCTGACTACCCATCAGATAGATAGACTAAACTGCTGCAAAGAAGTGGTGTTGGCCCAAGCCAGCAGGCGTTGGGATGGTCAATGAGAAGCTCTACCAAAGCTGCTGCAGTCTGAGCAGTTCACACAAAGCCAAGGGCAAGCAGAAAATC